GATCTATTTCTTTACTGTATTGCTCATTCAAGGAATCCGTCATTTTTCTAATATCCTCTATTTTTTTAATCAATGTCTTCTTTAGAAGCAGTCATAAATTCTTTTACTGCAGTGTTTTTTTCAGATTGGGTTTCCTCCCTATGTTTCTGTAGTTGCTCCTTTACTTCAGATGCTATGAGTTCTGAGAATTCTTTTTTTATTTCAGAAAATAATTCCGCTCTGAGTTCCTCTTACTGTCAGTGCTATTAATTCATACATTTGATCTGAGCTAGTAGAAAAGAATTCCGCTCTGAGTTCCTCTATGACTTTCTGCTGTTGCTTATTTACTATGGACACTATTAATTCATCCATTTGAGCTGAGCTAGTGTCCTCGGCACTTGTTCTGTGTGGGCATTGGGTTTCCTCCATATGTTTCTGCATTTAATTCTTTATTGCAGATGTTATAAATTCAGGGATTTCTTTTTTCATTTCCAATCTGAGTTCCTCTATACCTTTCTGCAGCTGTTTCTTTATTTCAGAAGCTGTTGATTCATTGCTTTCAGCTGTGTGATTCCCAATTTGTTTTGTCTTACTGTCCTCTGCACTTGTTACTGGTAGGCTTGGGTTCTGAGATTGTATTTTGCTCCTTCTCGTTGTCATTTTGTGTAGCATTGTCTTCTGACCTTTGTTGTAGATCTTTGTTGCAGTTATAACCTTAGCACCTACTGAAGTTCAGGTGTATATCTACAAAGTTTTGATTTATCCAGCTATGCCTACCTTGGGTCTGGCTGGTGTGCTCAGTTCCTTCCTGTTGATGCCCTTGGGGGTGAACCTATTGTGCCCCTCTGGCAAGATGTTCTGCTCCTGGACTAGCTAGGTGGTTCTGTCCCGTACACTCTCTGCAGGGATTGCAGCTGAAGGGTTTCACCCCAGGCCTGCATGCCAGGCCTGATCTGAGTCTTTAGGGGACAAGTTGGAGTAGGGGGGAGAGGCAGCTCTCCCATACACTCACCGGGTCTGGACTAGGACTGGATCTGGGGGTTCCCGGAATGCGGCAGAAATTCCTTTTTGGCGGGGTAGGTGCTGCGGAGTGGTGGGGGGTGTCCCAAGGGGGTGGAAGAGGGTCTCACCTGTGCTGTGCCTGGGCTGGGACCAGTAGGTCCTGCCGTCACAGGATAGCTGGAAGCTTTCCCACACTCACCGGGCCTGGTCTACGTCTGGGTCTGGGGGTTCTTGGATCGCGGCAGAGATTCCTACTCAGCAGGCAGGGTGAGGGTGGTGCTGCGGAGTGGTGGGGCGCGTCCCAAGGGGCTAGAAGAGGGTCTCACCCACACTGCGCCTGGGCTGGGAACAGTGGGTCCCGCTGGCGCCGGATAGCTGGAAGCTCTCCCACACACTCACAGGGCCTAGGCTAGGACTGGGTCTCCAGACTCTTGTTTTAGACTGGGTTCTGTGTTCGATGGTATAATTTTATGGGGTTGGGGATTTTTTTTTTATGCCTTAGTTTATTCATCTATAAAATGGGAGTTGTGTCAGTGTCTGGGAAAGAATTTATGAGATGATGTATAAGAATTTGGCATGTGGCGCCTGGCAAGATAGCTCAGTGGACTAAAGTGACTGCTTAGGCAAGCACAGAGACCATGGTTTGATTCCTGGCACCACATGCCTCATCCATGTTGCCCCCAGGGTGGGATGAGCCAGCCACAGGTCTGAGCGAAGTGGCACATGCCTGTAATCTCAGTATCAGAGAGGCTGAAAACAAGAGGACCACTGTGAGTCTGAGCTGTGTAGTGAGACCCTTTAACAACCAAATACATTAAGAAAAATGAAAACAAAAGAAAATAATTTGACAAGATACCTGGCCCATCGTGTTTAATACATATGATAGTTGGTAAAAGTATTCCCTAGGTAAACATACAGTGAGTGACTAGTATATGTTCTGCAAATGACGACTCTATTGCAGGATGCCTAACACTGAATAGGCACAGATTGGTAAATTCAAACAGCCTGAGCACAGCATGTGGCAGTGTTCCAAATTTGTGGGTAATGGAAGTAGTTAGTCCCATTCTGAAAGGAAAATTTGTAAAGTTATTCCACAAACACACCCTTGGTGACGTGACTTTCTTCAGTGATGATCTCTGAAATATGAGAATATATTAATATTTATAAGATGTACATCATGTGCTTTTCTTTACATAGACCTCTCCTCCGCCCCTCTTCAGGCCTAACTTGCCAAGTTTTAAATATGTTTTTTAACATTCTTGTACCTGCAGAGAAAACGAGGTGCTTAAGGTCCAGCTGAAGAAATATGTAGGAGCTGTCCAGATGCTGAAAAGAGAAGGTCAAACAGCTGAAGGTGAGGAGGAGACTGAGCCTAGGTGGGGAAGGGTGAGCATTTCTTTAACCCTTGTGCCTGGCCCAGAGCAGACACTCAATGGGGTTGAGCACATATGTACATGAATTACAAAAATGGTGCTGGAAAGGATTCCAGAAAATTTATTAGCTAGAAAACACTGCTATGTATTTTTGCTAAATGAAACCTAATATTGTAAGACTGCCAAAATTTTATTAGAAATAGTCATATCATTTGTGTACTTAGAAAATTTTCTGTGTAGAAATCTTTAGACACTTGTGTGGTAGGGAGTCATGTGAAATGATTAAGTCACATCAGATAAGGAGTATGGCCACAGAATGCCAGAGTGGAGGAATGGTTATGTTTCTTTAACATCTGTCTCCATTTTCTACCTCTGTAGAATGCAATTAGTTAGCAGCACCCACCTGATGAGGCAGTCTATGTGGACATCTAGCATAATGCGTACCAGAGAATAAGTACTGAATAACATTCAGCTAATTATTATTTATATTAATCAGAAGCACAAGTAAACAGAAGAGTAAACACCTGACAGATAACATGGTGCTGCCATGCATTTTTCTCTCATTCTCCTAAAATGTCCTTCAGGTCAGTGTGACTAAACGTTCTTCAACTTTGCTGAGTGTCTTGTGGTCCTCAGCTGGCTGATTACAACAGAACTTTCTTTTAAAAGGATGGGCATTTTAACAAAGGATAGCTTGCAAGTCTGCCCTTGACTTGAGGAAGCATCACATAACCATCATGCAGTCAATGTGGGGGTTTACTGAAACAGTGCAGGACATTCCCAGCTATAGCACCCAGTGTGTAATAAGTAGGTATTATTTTTCTTTGTTGGAGACAGGATTGGAGTCTGGATGTGGCTTGCATAGTGACATGAATTTTCCTTAAGGCTTGTGTATTTCATGTGATCTCTGTATGACAGGATGAACATGTCTGCAGAGGTGTTTTGGTCATATGCCTTGCTACATTCATGTTTGGTTTGTTGCTGTAACAATTTTGTGCCCACCAGTACTGCCTTAAGCATAGCTTCCTGTCTAGACTTATTGGCCTTTTGTGCAGATGTTACTATTGTGCTCTAAATGCATTTCATTGTGCAGAGATATTTATGCTTTCATTTTCTAACTTTTTGTTTTTCCTTTTGTTACCCCTTGGCATGGTTTGTTTTGTAGTGCTAGAGACTGAACCCAGAGCTTTGTGCATGCCATACAAGTACTTTACCACTGAGCAATGTCCCTAGCCTTTCACTACATATGTTGAAAATTATTTATCTCTTTACCCTTGTAAGTTTAAGTGCATGTTCATCTGACTCAGTAACTATGATAAATTAGGTATTTTTCTTCTATTTTAAAGTTTTTTTTTTTTTTTAAATGGGAAGCTCAGGACAGCCAGCAAGGCTTGTACATGTATCCAGCATGCAAAGAAACCCTGGATGTTTCTTTCCATATTTTGGTTCTTTGTATTATAAAGTTTTTAAACTTTAATGTCAAAGTGAGTTCCCTGGGGAACGTATTTATATATGCCTCTTTGCCAACCTATCTCTGGGAATCTGGCTCTGCAATAGGACTCAAGATTAATATATCTTCACCCATGACTCTAAGGTGTGTGATGACATGAGGACCGTGCCTTTTGTGAAATATATAATAAAAAAAATCTAGGAAAAAAAGCATTGCTTGTCTTTTTTTTTTTTTTGAGTGTGGTTCTCATTCTATGGTCCAGGTTAGCCTTGAACTTGCCATCCTTTTGGCTCAGCCTCCCTAGAGCTGGAATACAAATATGCACCATTTCTCAGCTTCAACACTGTGAGATACATTTCTGAGTTGGAAATTTTTGAAGTGATCCTTGCCAAATGCACACACAGAACCTATAGAGTACAGACGGGTTTCTTATGGTGTGAAAGTTCCATTTCCTCAGATGCAGCTTGAATGCTCTGAGCCAAAGCTGGATGCGAGTCTTTTTAGGATGCAGTTGAAATAGCTCTTAAATGGAGGGGAGATATTAAGCATATTCCACTACTTCCCTTATCTTGATACCATTACTGCTCTTTGTATAATTTAGGTCAATGACACCATACCTGCAAATCCTCTTTTAACACAAGTAGGAGAATCCTCAAGTGTGCCCCAGATGCCCTGTTGCTGCTTACCTAGTCGTGCAGTTCACTCCTCTACACAAATGATAATGGGCACCTACTGTGTTCCAGTGTACCATGAAGCAGCCTTATTCAAAGGCAGCCCATTCTCATGGTTTGATCATTGCATATTACATGTGTCAGATTATCATATTATATCTCAAAAATGGTGCCCACAGCCCATGAGTGCTGGGGCACAGTGGAATAGGTAGCTGAGAGAAAACAAAATCAGAGCCAGCTTTTGAGACATAAAGTTTAAGGTTTACTAACTGATATTACTGGCAAGGATAGGGTTACTTGTTACTGGCAAGGAAGGAGGTCCAGGAGAAGCTAATGGGAGGCCAACAGCTTCACTTGCAAGGTGCATACTGAGCAATAGCACCATTCAGGAAAATTTCCAGAGATACACACACAACAATGGCACTGGTTGGGAAATCCATGAGGGATGCAAACTCTGCAGGTGTCACTCAGCAAGTATGTGAGAGGTGCATACTTAGCATCATCCTTTTGGAGGTCTAGTGGTAACGGGCTGGGCAAGCATTCACCAGAAAGTACTTAGAGTACCTATTGGCAGCTGGCTGGACTGCAGCACTTGTTGGTGCTGTTTGTACCCTGTTACCACAGAAGGGGTTTTGTAGATTGAACTACATAAGCAGTGACATCATGGCTTGCATTGTTCTATCATATGATCAGTGTTTCAAGGACTTAGCATATGGGCAGGAAGATAGCGTCTATAGGTAATACTAGTTTGCCCAGTTCCAGTGTCCTTCTGATGATATATATCTGGGAAGTTCTGCTTACACTGACCCCTAGATTTGGCCAGAGTCTCAGGAATACAAAAGGAGCATTTCAGGGGCAGGATTCCAAATGCTGTAGTTTCTCTTAGGAATAATATAATGTGTGCAATTATTTTGTCAATTTAAAAATAGTTCTAAAAAAGCAACTCTAATGTTGCATACTAGCCTTCTTTGAAGAATTTTGATATAGTTTTAAATGATGTCATCTGTTTTCTAAGAGATTGGCATTTATTCCTTAAGCCCAATTTGTTTTGGATTCAGTGTTTGAAATCTTTGACTATGAACTGGTTGGGCTGTAGTGTTTCCAAGTGTCTTGGAGTTGGAGGAGCCAGGGCAGGATGAGGTTAAAGAGAGAATCCCTTCTGGACCTGTGGTGCCCTTGGCTCCTGATGTAGGGGATGGACATAGAAATGCCTTCTGGCTCTGTAAGTTCTATTTAAAGGTTCTTTATGTCTTTTGGGAGAAAATTGTTTATAAAACTATAAGTTCATTGGTGGGGAAAAGAATGAAAAAAAAATGAAGCCTCAGTTGCTTTCAGAGGTAGATGGATTCCTGTGGGCTATTCTGAGACTGTCACCTTCATTATTGAATTTTTGTTTTAGAAAAATACCTCTAGGATTGAAAAAATGAACTTTAACTTTTAGAATAGATTGTTGGCAACCTTTAAATTTACAAATTTCAGATTCCCATTCTTTTCCTTTTTATGAATCTCAGGTCTTTTTCTCTTGTTGCTGGAACAATATACCTCATACCCAAAATCAAGGAAGGAAAAGTTTATTTAGCTTACAGTTTGTGCAGGTTTCAGAACATAATCAGCTGATTTCAAGGCAGAGTGGCACATGGCAGCGGGCAGCAGCTCACAGAGGCAAAAACAGCAAGAGCAACAAGGAAAGGGCAGCAGCAGAGAGCAAGCCTCTTTCCCTTTCCTATGTTGCATTCAGGCTGTTTGCCCAGGGCAGGTGTAGCACTCACACCAATTATCCCAGCATTGGATCATGAATTATTCACAAGTCTGCCCCATGACTGCATGAGGCTTTGGGGGAACACCTAGACACATACTGTAATAGAGTCCTTCTAAAAAAATCATTTGTATGTAGCAACTATGGGGTAGAATTTTGTCTGCCTTTATTGATTGAAATATATGTTTTTAAAATTCCTGGTGTGATTCAAAATGAAAGTGGGTTGCTTGGCATTCCAGCATTGTTTTTCCTTGGTGAGATTAGAAGGTTTGCTGAAAGCACAAGCCTTCCTTTGTGTTTAGATATCTCACTGTGTTTGTGCTCTTCCCCCAGAATGAGAGGTGCGGCAGGAGAATCCTTGTTTCTGAGGAGTTAGCACAGCAATTAAATTTCTATTGTAACTCTCTTACTGGACACGGTAGATCAATGAGCTTGGATGCCCTTTCTCTGCTCCAGGAAGCCAGTGGAGGGCAGTTTCACCTAAGTGGTAAGAGCAGGAGATCACTCTGCAAATTCATGTTTCCATTTCAGTCTTATTGCTGAATTTTGAAACAAGTCTATGGCAAGTTGGCTTCCAGCCTCCTGATGCTTCCTCGTGATTCACTGCAAAGCTTGGGGAGCAGGGAATCCCTTCGGCTTGGACACTAGGTGGCCTGTGTAGACAGGACCTGCTTATTATCTTAAGAATGGATTCCCCATGTTAACCAAACGTTTAAAGATATATAGACAGGTGTGGGCTGGGGAGATAGTTCAGCAGTCTAAGTGCCTGCCTAGAAAGTGCAAGGACCCGAGTTCGATCCCTAGTACTGCATGCTATGATGGCCCCAGATCCCTGGGCTCTCTGTGCTGGTCACTGAAACTGGGCTTGGTGATGCACCCCTGTAATCTGATCACAGAGAGGAGGAGACAGGAGGTTCATTCTAAGTCTGAACTGCATAGTGAGACCCTGTATCAAATAGACAGGAGCATTTTGGGTAACAGTAATGAGCCACAGAACTGCTGCGTGGCTTGATGTTCAGGCCAGTTCTTCCTCTGGGCCAATCATTGTGGAAAGCCAGAGGCCCATCTGTTGGCTGCTGGTAAGTTGGAATGGGGCAACTGGTT